AATACAGTAAATTCTAAAAATGTGAGCAGTTAAAACAGACAGTTCTAATATTTAAAACCAATCTTGATTCTACACAGTTACGGTAAGTCTTTCATAATTATGTTGAGACTTTTATCAGAAAAGTTTCCTATGGTATTTCAGAGATGTACACTAGACATCACTACTAGATTTCTATCCAGTATTATTAAGCTTTCTTTAGACATTTACCTTCATTGATAAACACCAAGAGATGTGCTTCTGTTACCTGCTAGTGAGGTATGCTTCCCAGTGCAAGAGATGTTGAAGGTGCCCATTCTTCTCTCAAAGAAAAAAATTAGCATGAATTTCTAAATTAAAATACACTTCATGAACTTGCTTCTGTATATCCAGAGGAAAGTACTTATTATGCTTACTACGACTTTAAGGCATATTTGCCTGCCTGGCATTAAACACTGGGAACAACCCTCACAACTGGTTAATGAATCACTTTGTGTTAATTCTGTGCCAGCACTGTTTAGTTCAGAAAACAAAGAGACCCTGAAATGCATGCCAATAATAAAGTCTAAAATATCTTTATAGTTTACAAGAATCTAGTAACAAAAAAAAAAAAACCACTGAAACCTTTTCTGTATATCACTCTTAATCCTATAAATAATGGGATGACTTCTGACCACTCAAATCAGCTTGCTTTTCATCTCACTGCTTAGCCGCAAGTACAACCAACTAAACTTTCCACATACGTTGGTATTACTTTTTGATAACATGTAAAAGACCAGGATTTAGAGCTAGATTCTTTGTTAATAAACACAGGTACTGATGTACATAGATGCAGAGCCCACATAAATAGGAGGGGTGCCAAATGGAAAAGAGGACATTTCAGCTGCTCTACCAATCCTCTAGAAATACCCTCCGAAGTCCATCTTTTCCAAAGTCTACCCTTGTAACGAATTGAAACTACTGCCCACCCATCATTTGATCAATTAAACGTTACCAGACACAGTCAACAAACTGCCCTAACAGTTTCCCTGATGAAAATCAACTCATAACGGGAGTAATTACAAAGTTACACGTCCCCATAAAACCAAGCATGTCTTCCTGTGGCCTAGGAGAGAGGGAGACAGACCCTCTTTGAAGCTACGGTCACAATTCAGGGAAAAACCCGGGCTCGCCTTTTTTCCTCAATCTGAGCGTTCCGTCTACCCGCGCTTCCTGCTTTCGGGGTCAGGGAAGCGGCCGCAGGGAAGGCGAGGTGAGGAGCGCTCCGTGGGCAGCGGGACACCTGCACCCGCCCGCTCCCCCACTCGCCGTGACACTTCCCGGCTCCCCCGGGAGCATCCGCTGGGGCCCGCCACCGCTCCCCAAAGCCACTGCCTAACTCCGTCCGCGGGAGAGGGACGGGGAGGAGGAAGGTAACCGGGAAGTGGCGACTGGAGGAAAGTCCCGAGCAACTGAAGCGCAGCCGAGAGCACAGAGCCGGGCAGAGGAAGCACAGCCGAGAGCGGCAGGGAAAAGGGGCCGAGGAAAAAAAGAGAACAGCTAGGTCGGACCTCGGTGGAAAAAAGTCTCGGGAAAGAGGTAGGGGCGCCGGGTCAGCCACAGGCGGAGAGAAAAGAAAGCCTGGGCCGGATGGAGGGGACCTGTCTGGGAGCTGGCAACAGAAAGGAGAGCCCGGGCCGGCGGCCCAGCCGCGGCCTGCCGCCGGGGAGCTGAGGCGCGGCGCTGAGGAGAGAAGAGCCCGCCGCCCCCAGCCCCGAGCCGCGCCGCGGCGGAGAGGGATCAAGGAAGAGAGAAAGAAGGAGGGAGGCCGGCAGCCCCACACCAGGGCTCCGTGGGCTGGGCGGGCCTGGCGGCGTCCTCACCTCCGGCGCCTGCCGCACAGGAGCACAGCAGGATTATCGTCCCCGCTAGATCCATCTTCACCGGGCCCAGGCCCCACCGCCGCCGTCTACCCACAGCACATCCGCCCTTGTCGCGCGCCGGGATGGGGAGGGACGAGCTCCGCGCCTCCCTCCGCTTTGTCCCCCGCCGAGCGTGCCCCGGCGCCCCCCGCCCGGCAGCGCTCCGTCTCGCCCCGCCCCACTAAGCTCCGCTCCACAGCTTCCTCCGGCCGCCCGCTCGACCGCCACCGGCGAGGCGGGGCCGCAGGGCACGCCCAGAACGCACGAGCAGCCCCGTTTCCCTCCCCACGCAACGGGCGGGGCCCCGAAGAACGGAGTTCGCCGCCCGCTGGGCGGGGCAGGACAGCACGTCAGCGGAGACACCCAAATGGCGGCAGGGCGGAACCTTCCCGGCTGCCTCCGCGGGCCCGGCTGGGTCCGGGCAAGCTGCGTTTCCTCAGCGGTGTAAGCAGGAAGGCATCAGCTGCTGATCCCGCCCACGGCACCGCTGGGACTGGGCGGCTTCTCGGCTGAGGTACGCCGAGGCCGCACCTGCCGCCACCCTCGGGCTTCCTGCGAGGCGAGGCGGAGCGGCTGTGGCCCCTGGACCCTTGAAGGGATCTGCCGGGGCCGAGTGGTGCCGGTATCTCTCTGGGCCACAAGGGTCTGCGTCCTCGGTGAAAAAAGAACGAGCTGCTGGTGCCCAAACTTGGCTCGTACCCGAGCAGCATCTTTCAGCCCTTTCACACCTCTGTGTGAGCAGCCTTGGGCCCCTTCCTTTAAGGAGCTGTGATGGAAGTGTAAATACCTTCCTTCCATCAGTTGACCTCGATACACATTTTTCCTTGCATATACCAATTTACTTACTTTTCAAGTTTTATTTTAAGTCACCTATTTCTCTTGGTGCTCTGCATGTCACAGTATGTTTAAGTTGTCCCCACTGAACAGGGTTTTCTTCATTGTGAGGCTGTCTTGAGCCACCTTCATGGTTCAAGCGTAAAGGAAAATCCTCCAGTGAAGATAAAACGTGAACCATTATGGCAGAATGCTTCACAGGACTGGACAAGACCTTTAAGATCATCAAGTCCAACCTCTACCCCTGGACTGCCAAGCCCATCACTAAACCATGTCACTAGGAGCCTCCATCTATGTTTTTTAACACTTCCAGGGACTGTGATTCCCCCACTTCCCTGGGAAGTCTGTTCCAATGTCTGACCACCCTTTCAGTGAATAGATTTTTCCTAATATCCAGTCTAAACTTTCCCTGACAGAGCTTGAGGCTGTTACCTCATGTCCTACCACTTGTTATGTGGGAGACAGACCCCCATCTCACTATAATCTCCTTTCAGGTAGTTGTAGAGAGCAATGAAGTCCTCCCTGAGCTTTCTCTTCTCCAGACTAAACTCCTCCAGTTCCCTTAGCTGTTCCTCATCACACTTGTACTCCAGATCCTACCTCAGCTTCATTGTGCTTCTCTGGGATGTGCTCCAGCACCTCAATTATCTCTCTTCTAGAGAGGGGCACAGAACTGAACACAGGACCTAAGGTGCGGCCTAACGAGTGCCCAGTGCAGGGGGAAAACCACTGCCCTGGCCCCTGCTGGCCACACTATTGCTGATACAGGCCAGGATGCCCCTGGCCTTCTTGGCTTCCCAGGCATAAATTGCCTCATGTTCAATGCCTGTTAATCAACACCCCCAGGTCTTTTTCCACTGAGCAGCTGTCCAGCCACTCTTCCCTAAGCTTGGAGCGTTGCGTGGGGTTGTTGTGACCCAAAGTGCACGACCTGGCACTTTGCCTTGTTGAACCTCATCCCGCTGGCCATGGCCCATTCATCCAGACTGTCCAGTTCTCTGCAGAGCTTTTCTACTCTCAAGCAGATCTCCCACCCAAGCTGCTGTCATCTGCAAGTTTACTGAGGGTGCGCTCGAGTCTCTTATCCAGATCATCAATAAAGACATTAAAGATATTGATTTCTTGGCAGTCAATATGCTAATTTTTATATTCAACTATGCTCACCCAAAGATTTTGTATTTATATTAGGGTTTGTGACAAGTTTCTCAGTTTAAACTCTCATCCTTTATTTTTCCTTTTCCAGCCCTGTTACCCTGTCAGAATAAAAAAAAAAATAAATCCTCAAATTCCACTCCCCACCCCCCCCAACAGGTACAGCAGGGAGAAGTTACATAAATGTGTAAGCAAGCACAGTTACAATGAATGTACTTCAGATAAGGCTGCTAATGTTGTTTAGGAAGACCTCAGATAAGAGGTCTGACTACCAAGAACAGAAAACGTAAGAATTTATCTTCCCAAAACTGTACTCAAAATTTGTGATTAAAAGCTGAAGGTTTCTATAGGGAGAGAAGGAAACGGGTTCATTAAGGTGAATGGAGTAATACAACTGCATCAGTTCCTAAGTTACCAGTCACACTCACCGTATGGGTACTGCAGTAATATCGGTACCTCACAAACTGCAGCAGGAAGCTCTGAACGCCTCCACAGGGACAACCGGGCTGCCGGCGGCCTCCTCCCGCAGCGCTTCACCTCAGCGCCCGCGGGCACGGACCTCCCCTCATTGCTCCCGGCGCGATTTAGCTCAGCGTCCGCGGGCTGGCATCTCCCTTCACTGCTCACACCTGCCTTCCCGCGCAGACGCGGCCCGCCCCCGCCACTTCACAGCAGAAGAGGAGGGGCGCGGCAAGGAGAAGGTTTCTGCCGTACGACCGCTGGCGGGCGCTGCGTTGGTGTGGAGCGGGTACGGGGCACCCTCAGAGCCCGCGCCGCTTCAGGAAGCTGTCCCGCTTTGCGCGGCCCACTGGTTACGGGATGTAGGCTCGACTCTGCCCCGCCTCATGCTTCCCCTTCCGGGCTCGCGCCGAGGCTTGCGCGCTTCCCGCGCCCCTCACGCGGGGCGCGCGCACTTCCTCCTCGTTTCCCCCATTCCCCGGGCACCGGCGTCCCCGCTGCTGGTCCCGGGCTCCCGTCCGCGCACAGGTTCCGCCGGCCACGCCCTCGGGGCTCCCTCCCCCGCCCCGGGCCCCGCGGTCACCCTTGGCTGCTTCCCGCTCCCGCCCACACGTCCCCGGCGGGGCGGAGCCGTCGCTGGTGTTATGGCGTCTTGGGCGCTGTTGGCGAAGGAACAGCCGCTGCGGTGCCAATAGAGAGCGACGGAGCCGGGCGGGCCGGGCATGGAGAGCCTGGCGCAGCCCCCGCCGCCTCCGGGCTCGCTGAAGACGGGCGGCGGGGGCGCTGCCAGCCAGCTCCTCCTGGAAGAGGCGGCGGCAGGCGAGGGCGGCTGCCGCGACGGGCCCGCGGCGGCTGAGGAGGGCGGCGGGCGGCGCAGCCCTTCCCCTCCCCGGGCCCCCGCTCCCGCCGTGGTCCCCTGTACGGCGTCTCCCTCGCGGGCCCCTGAGAGCAGCTCGCCGGCGGCGGAAGGCGCGGGACTGGCGGTGCCGGAGAGCCCCGAAGCGGCGCCTACATCGGAGAGCGGTCCCGCGGGGGCCGGTTCCGGGAGCAGCGGGGCTCCCAGTCCCCCGGGGGAGGAGTCCCGGAGCCTGGACTCATTGGACTCCTTTTCTAACCTGCACTCCTGCTGCCCGAGCAGCTCCGAGCTCAACAGCGATGTCGAGGAGGCGGTGGTGGCGGGGGCCTCCTCGGAGGGCGCGGCTCCGGAGCCCGAAGGGGATAGGCCCGCCGCGGGCTCCCAGCTCCTCTCCGCCTCTAAGGAGCGTTTCCCTGGCCAGTCGGTCTATCACATCAAGTGGGTCCGCTGGAAGGAGGAAAACACGCCCGTCATCACACAGAACGAGAACGGACCCTGCCCGTTGCTGGCCATCATGAACGTGCTGCTCTTGGCCTGGAAGGTACCGTGCTCCGGGTGCCATGACGGGTGCGGGCGGTGCCGCTTGGGTAGTGCCGTGACCTGAACGCCGACATCGCCGCGGCGGGCGGGGCGTTCCTTCTAGTGCTGAAAGCGTTCGGGGAGCACCTGTGCCGATACCGCGTTAATGCGCAGCCAGAGCTTTGTGCTGAGTAAGACAACATTATCAAGAAGGCTGGAGAGGGGATTTTTGTAAGGGCATATAAGGATCGGACAAGGAGGAAGGGGGATTCAGATATTAGGAAGAAGCTCTTCCCTGTGAGGGTGGTGAGACCCTGGCACAGGTTGCACAGAGAAGCTGCGTCTGCCCCATCCCAGGCAGTGCTCAAAGCCAGGCTGAATGGGACTTAAAACAACCTGGTCTAGTTGAAGGTGTCCCTGCCCGTGGCAGGGGATTGGAGTTGGATGAGCTTTAAGGTCCCTTCAGCCCAAACCATTTTATGATTCTGTCAAGACTTATTTCTGATGTTAATCACATATCTTACATACAGAGCTTGGAAAGTAAATATTGGCAGTCTACTGCCAATATGCTACTTAGATGCTGCTGCGATATATAGACTGTGTTGTTGCCTTAAAAAAGAATAAAAATCTAGATGGTCCTTTATTAAACTAAGCAATGCATTATTTGCAGATGCACGCATGTTTCTAGTAATTAAACATTACTATTTATAGCACTGAAAACATAGATGGTATTTTGGGAACTAAAGTTTTGTACAATGAAGTATATTCAGAGTTGTATAAAATACAGGTTTGTGCAAGTTAACTGCCTTAAGAATAGGGGTAAATTTGTACAATTATGCAAAATAGATTGTATTTAAATTAACGAGTAAAACTGGGTCGTAATAAATGTAGCTCTGAGACCTGAATGTGCTTATATTCTAATAGTGATCATGGATGTGGATTTACTATAGTCTTAAAATAATTCTTTTTAACTTTTAAGCAATTAAAGTAAGGCATAATGTAATTATGAACATTAGATTAGGTCAAGTAATTATAATTTGCGAACAAGGGAGCAGACCAAGAGATGAAAATAGACAAAAGCAGAACTAGAATACCATAGTATGTGTTAGGTGAATAGAAGCTATGTGGTGGTTGGCGGCGGAAATGATGTAAAGAGGAGATGAGGATGGGAAGTGAAATCACAACAGAGAATATAAACAGCTAAGGGCTGGGCTCTCTTCCCTGCGTCAGCCACCAACTTTCTGTCTCAGAACTTTATCCTGACAAGGCTGAGAGTTTTGGTCATCCTGTAGGTAGGTATGGTCTCAAACAACTGAAGATAATAGATTCAAATGCTCAAAGCTGAGAAACCACAGTTACAGTACTAGTTTTCAAGTTTTCATGAACATTCTCATTTTCATGGTCAATTCTGTGCTTCCATTATTAAAAACAGGGGTTTTTTTGGATAGTCCTCACTGAGGGAGGAGAGACTGAGAGAGGTAGTTTGTTAATTTGCATAAAGGGTTGCAATAACAAGACCTAAGATGTACCTTAGGTAAGTGTACCACATATTCAGGATTTTTCTTCCTAGTAGCTAGAAGATCTTGTTCATCAATGGAGTGAGATTATTCTCTGTTCCTAATAATTATTCAGGTTTTATTTTACTTTTAGTAGGTATTTTTTGATACTAGGATTCACTTCTTTATTGAGAAATACAGGTAGAAAGACTACTTAAAAGTAATTGAGTCTTTGAATTCTGCATTGCTATGCCATCATCTGTGAAGCAGTTTCTTGACAGTGCTTTTTTGGAAATTCAAAAATAGTAGCACCTCTTGGCACTATTCAGATTCCCTTTTGATAGCACCAGTTTTTGAAACTAAACTTGCAATAAAACTGCTACCTCTTTTTTTATCCAATACTTTCAATAGAGTCTGAGCATACTTTGAGGTGGCAGACTGTAGAAGCTGTGCTTTTAAATGTGCTTTAAATGTTACAATTATGATATCACTTTTCTTTGGAGTGTTTTTGCAGACTGCCTGTGTTAAGTGTAACTTGCAGTTTAGCCTTAAGGACATACTGCTGAGGAGTTCTGCTTACACAAGTGTTACAAAGATGTTTTAAGAAAGAATAAAACAAAAGCAGTATCATACTATGCCATACTTGAAAAATTAACTGCAAAACTGTGGTAACCATTTAGGCTTCTGTGATGGATAGAGTATCAAAACAAACATTTAAAATGTATGTACAAGCATGGGTTGTCCCAGTGTGGGGCACTGACTTTCAGCTTGTTTAAATCTGAAGACTGCTCAGTTTTCCCTCGGGGCTGTGGCTCACTGTGTAGTTAAGCTTAGTGCAACTCTTGCTTTTCTAAGTGCTTTTTGTGATCTTTGTTACATACAGTTCATGCGTCACTTTCCGATAACTTCTGCTGTTGCATTAAGCTGTAATTTTGTGTGGGGGTAGCCCTCCTAGGATGTACTCCATGGCAATCAGCAGATGCTTAAATCTTAATAAGCTTGCCATGTAATTCTGCTCTGATTCTTAGGTAGGAGGTGATGTCATGTAGCCAAAGAATTCTGAACCTTAATGCATTGCACAGAAATGACATATCTGAAATGTCCAGGGAACAGAGAAACAAATTGTTTTGGACCATAAAATAAGCCGAAGGGAAAACATAATGCAATACAAATAATATTAATATCGCCTTGAAGTGAGTGCATATGGAATATCTTGTCCTTACAGCTTTTCATGTAGGAGAGTAACCCCAGTAGTGTATTTGAAAGTGTCTTTAAAAGTTTTTTTCTGTGACAGTCCTCTGAATGAATGGAAGGTTTTGGGAGCTGTGTTCCCTACGTGCCGAGTTGTGCTAAAGTTCTGGTAACTTTTAGAACTGTGTGATTTAATTATTTAGGTGATTGTAACAATTATGTAAGTAAATGTTATAGAACTGTTTATGTTTAGATGTATTCAAACTGAGGTGCAGAAGAGAAGTAGAGTAAAAAAAATCTAATTAGAATTGCAGTTAAAATTCTAGATAGAATAGCAGAATTCTAGTTAGAATTTTTTAGTTTTACATCCCATAAAAATGGCCCTTTTTCAGAGGAGCCGAGTACAGTATGCTCCTGCTGATATCCGTTTGATTTGTTGGAGGCTGCAGTGGTGGTGCCAGGTCTGAGGTCTGGCACTGGTCCTTTGCGCGTGATCTACTTTTTCTTGCTGCTGAGCTAAACCTCCTTATGGCCAGAATTTGCATAGATTGCTCAGATGGACTGGCTTAGCCTCTGAAGGCGAGCTGCTGGTGAGTTTCTGATGACTGCTCAGCAGAGGCCTTGGCAGCCTTCCTCTGGCACCTGTGGGACGAGCTGAGCTTACAGACCAGTAGGCCTGTAGTTGTGTATTTTCTGGATCAGGGAGACTGCTTTGAGGGACTGAAGGAAACCTGATTGAGGGGGGAAGATCTTAAGGTTATTGGGTAGCAGCATGTACTATCAGGCTGTCGTCTGACCAGTTCATGAAGCTGTTCCTACAATGCAAAAGGTATGTATTTGCAGGGAGTACTAATTGATTTTGTCATGCAACTTGAAGCTACCTTTAACATCTTCTGGAACTCTGAATTTAGGGGAGTTGTGTATTTTAGATAAACATGTTCTGAGACTATAAATAATAAGCCATTAGACATTTGCATGGTCTGTACATGTAGTATTTTAGGAAGTGTTAGCGTCTATGTGGGACTTTATCACTTACTTGGTTTTTTCAAGCCTTTCTGAAGCGTGGGAGAATACAGTGGGAAATATTTAAAATTAGTATTATGTAGTTTTCTAGTTTGTACTCTAATGCATAGAAAATGTGGAAGTTGTACTACACCAACTGTTCGATATGAAAATTGTTTATCAGTCTTTTAATTGCAAAGGGAGCTCAACTGTACCTCCCATTATAGTTGGGTGAGAAAGATTTACCTTCCCACTTCTGAATGTCGGAAATAAAAAGTAGCTAGAGTTAAGAAGTGAGAGAGCAAGACGAAAGACTAGGACCCTGCAATAGAGGGGTACAGGAAGTGGGTGGGAGTTGAAGAAAAGTGTTTTTCCTAAAACGTAAAATTAATGTGAAATCTAGAAACTAAGCATTGAAACCTATTGAGAAAACTGTTCCTCAAAATAAAATTGCTATGGACAGCAACTGCTTACATTGTTTTCTTCTGCTGATTTATGTGGAGAATGACTGTGGTTCTGTATGATTATTTTTTTTTCTCTCTCAATTCTTGAGGTGTTTTTCTTTCCTGTTTCCTATAGCTTAAGCACTCGTAATGAAGTTCCAAACAGTTAGGAAATGTCATGTTCTCTCTATATCCTACGTTAGCTCTATTAGAAGTACTTGTGACTGTGTTGGAAACTTTAAAGGTGTGATCAAGATCCCACAAAACATTCCAGCCCTAAAATTATGCCATGAAGTAATACATTAACTTTGTTTTGGATTCAGGTGAGCAGTTCTGCAGATACAAATAGAACTGCTTTGGTTCTGCAGTAAAAAAACATAAGTTGCTTAGCATTACAGTTGCGAGGGAAAATTCAGATTGTTAGTCAGTGATACAAATAATACTGTAAGTCCATAAAGCCTGAAACATTAGTATGTTTATGCCATGAATATGAAGAACTCAAATACAGGTAACCCATGTATACCTGCTTTTTGTAGTACATGCATACTTCTAGGTTCCCAAATGTGGTGCTGAGCAGAAATCCCCAAGCAATGCTGGCTGAGCTGATGTGAAAGCTTTTAGATAAATACTAAAAAGAGCTGGTTTTGGTGCTGAGTCATCGTAGTACTTCTGCTAATATTTGAAGGAGCAATGCTATTATACTATGTTATGCTGGCACATGTGTACTGTTTGTAGTCTCAGAACTGCTTCAGGCAGATCTAGCGTAAGTAATTCTGTTCTGTGCCATTACATCCATGTGCCTTAGAAGCTGTAATGAACCAGAGCCAACTCAGGGGTGTGCAAGCTGATGTTTGCTAAGGCTTGACTGCTGCCAATTCAGAACTAGAAGTTTAAGAATCAGCTTTTTGAACCTGTAGTCCTGTTATTTATATGGTGCAATATATTTATATGAATAGTCAGTATGAATATTATGAACAAGATCATAGATTATGAAAACCTTTATCCTGTTGAGTATTAGTTTTGGGGAAGGGTTGAGAAATTTTCTAAGCTCCAGTCAGTTGCTACTCATTTAAAAGATGTTTTCAAAAATTCATGTGCCTGTGCATACATGACTGATTTTTCTTGTTTAATTCATATCGTTTTCATTCCTTTTATAAGCAGAACTAATTAAGCCTTCTTTCTGATGAATTTATGCATCAGTAATTTTCTGTTTTACTAACAATTTATACTTTCATTCCCTTCCTTCCCCAGATCTTGGTACTATCAGCTTCTTTCTATAGCCACCATCTCCAGGTTGATCAGTGTGTGGCATATGCTGTGTGGCCAGTTCTGACCTAAGTATGGTCATATTTCTTAGTGTATAAATAACAAGGCCATATTAACTTGGGTCTCTTTCTTACAAATTTAATGAAACTTCTTGTAAATCCATTTATTTAATACATATGCCTTTTGTCAAGTATGAATAAAATCGGTGGAGAGATAGATTTAGTGCAATCACACTAAATTAAAGTTATTAAAATAGCTTAGCTTTCAGTTTGGGAAGGAAGCCCTCTCCATCACAACGTGAACAGTGTACTATGTTGCTATAGTGTATTTTTGAGTTTGGGTTGCTTCATCAAAGACTTTTATGTGTATTGCTCTTCCCATCTGATGGAAGAACTTCCTCTCCACGACCAGCAAAGTAGTCTGAGCCTATTAAACCTTAAGCATGAGTTACCTATCTCACATTGTGTCTTTCATGTCAAGGAGAACTGTGAACGGTGTTCAGGAACTTGATTTAAAAATTCTTAAAATAAATACCAGACTTTCTAGACTTCCAGTGGTAAGATGTTGAAGAGAGGATGAAAAGATTAAAAATGGAAGAGAAAGCTTAAAAAAATACTCAAAGCCCAACCCCAAACCCTAGCAAAATACAATACATACTTATGCAAGGAAAAATTGAGCACAATATGGTTAAAGATGATATACTCCTATGGTATTCCTTCAGATAGCCAGAAGCATGCCTTTGTGTCTGTGCTCTGGCTGTAGTTGCAGGGAGATGTGTAAATGGAAGTGCGCAAGCAAAACATTTACGCGGGATGATTGACGGAGGAGATGCTATATCAAAGGCTTCAATATGTATTTTTTTTCACCTCATGGAGGAAGTTCCTCCTTCCTCTCTGCAACCAGCAAAGTGGTTGGAGCCTATTAAACCTTAGGCATGAGAATATGTAAGAAGCTTTTGGCTCTGGTGGCTGCCAGGGTGGTTGGTTTTAGCAGGTGCCAATGACAGGAATAGGTCAGGAGAGAGTGGAACAGAAACTTTACCACCAAGTTCTGTGTTTCCAGTCTCTTCTGTATGGAGTTAAACCAAACCCTTGAAATGTCAGGACAGAGTGAGAGTTCTGGGAGGTCATTTCCTCGTCTTGGCGTTTCTGTCCCAAGCAGCTGCTGCTACCAGATTCTCTGCAGCCTCTTGTCTGTATGCTGGAACTTTTTGAGTTAAAGACTCAGTTGAGAGTTCCAATGGAGGCAGGGAGGCAAAGACTTCTGAATAAGGTGAAGTTTTCTTAAGTGTGGTTACAATTCTCAGTCTTTTCATCCCAGGTGTTTGCAGCTGAGCTAGTGCAATGAGTGGTGTGAACTCTTATGAAGTTGAGGGGAATGCTGGTGAAATGTTGTGGTGGGAGGAGGGAGTGCTGTGCAGAGAGCTTAAAGTGAGAGAAAGTACCGTGTACATGTGCTTTCTCTAAAAGCCATAATGCCTTTTTTTTTAATCTCTTCTTGTAGCTGTTATTTAGTAGAGGAAGGCTCTTGGTCCCAGTATACTAATGCTCTTATAAATTGGTGAGGCAGATGTGATCAGAAGACTTCTGTCTAGAAATACCATGTTGATACTTTCTAAATTGTGGTGTTTTGACATTTTAAGGATAATATGCTTTCACTTTCACAGATTAAGCTGCCACCAATGATGGAAATCATAACGGCTGAACAGCTGATGGAATACTTGGGTTAGTAATTACAATAAATTGTTTCAATTATGTATTATTCTTATCAGTGAGGAGTAATGTAGGAGAACTGATTTACTTATTTACGATTCAGCTTTATTTGAACACATGCTGCAAAAAAAAAAAATAGTTACATTGGCCATTCAGATGGTCAATGCTGTTACTAAAGCAGCATTTCATAATCTCTTGGGATATCATATTAATCTCTTAATTAGTCACATAGTAATTTTACACAGAAATTTATGTCCCTCTGTTCTTTAACTTCAAAATATTAAAAGGTAAAACTATACAATAAGGTATGTAACTGCATTACAGAATTTAGAAAGGCAGCTTTGTAAACTACTTACGGATTTTGGTTACTTGTGCTTTTCCTTAATTGCATTTAGAAGTTTCCTATACTGCTCTCCAGAGTGGCTACTCTAGTGATGCAGTTGCTATGGCTTGTGGTATCTTTAAACTTATTAATGTCTGTTACAATGTTGTTTTATTATAGTTGTCACAATGTAGTTACTCAGCTGGGCCTTTAATTGACTGCAGTAACTAATCCTTAATAATGTGACCCAATTAAAATAACAGGAAAAAATAATTTGTTCTTCACAGTGATAGGAGTCTCATTTCCAGGCATTACTCAGTTGTCTAGTTCAGCAAAACTGCAGCTGTTTCCTTCTGACATGTCAGTAACTTCAATAGCACAGAATGATCCAGGTGTTAAAATGCAGTTGCTGTAGTACTTAAGCTATGTGTACCATAGTTCTTCCCCTTTGTAGCCTAGCAAGTACTGTATTTCCTTTATTTTTTGCTTGTAAAGAGTGTAGCTTGTTCTTTTCAAAAGCCTAGCACTGAATCTTTCAGTGGAAGAAGAAAGTTAATGACATAATTTCAGAAAAACAATTCTTAAGATATATTGCTGCTTGTGTCTAAACATTTCTTCTGTTTTGATAGAATAATACTGTCTGAAGTCACACATAATCCTAGTTATGTAAATGTGTGTATTCTTTCTTGAAGGCATATATTAGCTTCTGGAATTATCTTATTAAATTGAATAACAAAATTATCTGCCCGAATTATCTAGGTTCCTAGTCTATCAGCAGGATCAGCAGTTGCCGAATGGTTCTTGTACAGCTTAAAAGAAAATAAAAAGAGCTCTTCAACCACTGTGAACAATCTTAACTTTAAAGATCATCAATATGGAAACATATAATGATGTTTTTCTTTGGTTATAGATGTATTTTTTAGTAATGGAGCAAGAGAATAAATACAAAAAGCACTGAAATAAAATCTGAAGCATTTTGGAGAGGCAGTTTATGGATACTAGTCACTAAAGATTTTATAGCTCTTGAACTCCAGTGTGCTGATTAACTGATTAATTACATTTGTGTTGTAGACACAGGTGGAATACACGCCTGTCAGAATTACTGGTGCATGAAAACATATTCCAAAATACTCATAGTATCAGTGAGAATAAGTGGTTGCCTTTGTAATTGTGTAGTGCAATTACGTATCTTATTGTACACAGTTTGACCTTTTACTATTTTTAAGTTGAGGCACAGAGGAAGGTGAGTTTCTGTGTGAATAATTAAGAGATTAGTATGACACCCCAAGAGATTATGAAACGCTGCTTTAGTAACAGCGTTGGCCATTTGAATTTTATTTCTTAATATGTTCTTACTATGGTTTTTATACTCATGTTTTACTTCATAATTACAATTCAGGTTATAAAACAATGCAGTCTCATTAATTTGGTAGAAATCTTCAATGGTGGTATTTATGACCAGTCAGCTTCAATCAGAAGTGCTCAACCAAGCGTTGAAACTTTGAGTTTGGAATGAATTTAATTTTATTTTTGCCTTTTTTAGGAGACTATATTCTTGATGCAAAACCTAAAGAGATATCTGAAATTCAGCGTCTAAATTATGAGCAGGTAAGGAACTGCTCCTAAAATAGTTGCTTATGCTTAAAAGAACTAAACCTTTTTCTTCTTACGTCAGGTTTATCTTGTTAAAAAAACAGAAGCATACAAGCCATTCTTTGTAGTTAGTTTCTCCTTTTTTCTAGGCTTTATGTAGAGTATAATTTATAAATACTTTCTGTTAATTAGGAAAAACTCAGTATCTATTAAGGTAAGAAATTATTTTTATTTGCCTGTAAGGAGTATAATGAAAGAATTTTGGTTTTATTGGGGAATTGTAATGTGGAAATACAGATGGGAGCATGCAACAGGGTGGTTGCTTTTGAAGGCTTCTAATATGCATCCTTAAGTATATTCTGTTATGTGATGCTTGCTAGACTTGCTCTGAGGATGTAAACTGGGCAAGAGAGAGATCTCCATTCTTAAGTCATGATGGACAGAAAGAGGTTGATTCCATATTATGGAAGGCAATATTATTTGCACTGACCACAATTTTTTTTCATCACAGAGGTCTTTCTGTGTTAAACATGATGCTATTAGTTTAAAGGAAATATTGATGTAGTATATGTTCTCTCAGAACAAGTTTTTGAAGCTCTGTGGTCACAGCTGGTTTTTTGATTACTCATGGAAAAGTGGTTTGAATTTATTATAGTTGCTGGGTTTCAGGCTATTTCTGTTTATTATTAGGTCTTTTCTTGGTCTTATTCAGTGTTGAATATCAAAACTAGTATCTTGGGATAGTTGAAATTAGAATGAAGACTGAATGTGGATTTGTTTAATAATAATCCAAATTGTATCAAAATATCAAATTCTATATACTGTAATAAAAAATTATTATATTTTTTCCACACAATTCTGTACTATGGATGATAACAGTTATAATCAACCACAGGAGTGTGATGAAAGTTATATATCTGGTTAAAGTACAACCTTTATGACTTTCTTGTGCTCAGATAAATGGGTTTACTATTTATATTTCACAAACCTGTTCCTTAAATCTTTAACTTAACAATTTCAAAGAAAGCTTCTGCTCTATGAATGTTCTAAAGGTACTTGTAGGTGCAGGACTGATATCACATGAAAAGGGAAAGATAAACTAATTACATGATTGAGTTTTACAAAGTTTCTGCATTTCAGAAGTATTAGAACTAAGTCTAGACATTAATCATAATTTTGTGATTCATCTTGTTACACAGTTAATATTCTTTGCCTTAAACAATGTTTTCTTCTTACAAGAAACTCAAGTGAAATTTTCAGACAGCGTGATTTATAATGCTTGATATTACAATAATTTCTATACCATGACAAGATACTAATTTCAGTTGCGACTTTCTTTTTTATCATACTTGAGGGATTTAATTTTTTCGTTCAAATGCACAAACTTAAGAACAGGTTGCCCAGGGAGGTTATGCAGTCTCCATCCTTGGAGGTAGTCAAAGTCATCTGGACATGCCCCTGGATAAGCAGCTCTAGGTGGCCCTGCTTGAGGAGGCTGGAGCAGATGACTTCCAGAGGTCCCTTCCAAGCTCAACTGTTCTGTGTATTTATATCCTCGCTTACATCCATTTTTTTAGACATCTGTTGCTTTGTGCAAAAATAGCTAGAACAGGAATGATACTTTTCAAATTGCAGTGAGGAACTTCTGCAGCTTCCTAGACAGTTTGTATTGCTGCTTTGTTTACAAAGTAAACATTATAAAATAAATTCAACTAATGCTTCTAGATGTATGATCTGAATTTGTGTATGGCTAGCAGAGTTGCTATAGACTTTTTTCTATCCATTTAGTAGAGTGAGAGTATGTCATTATTTGTTTTAAAACACCTGAAGTATAAAAGCTTGATATCTGGTCACTTCTGATGAAATGCAGAGCAAAACTTTTATGAAACAACAAAAAAATCAGATTCTTCATCGTTGATCACCACTTTTAAGTATTGAACTCCCAGATTAGAGCTGGCAAGTAGATCTGTTCATTTTGCTCATTTGTTATGCGGTGGCAAGTACTTCAGCCTGACTCGTAAGGAAGGACTTACAAGAGGATAAGAACCCTCAGTATGGTCCCTGAGATAATCCTTTATAATCTAGTTCTTGCAAATAACTGGCTTGTGGTTATAGGGAATAGAGTTAAAAGAAATAAGAGCTGCCCAAAAGCAGCTTATGAGTGCAGAAGAATAAACAGTTGGATATAGCTGATTGGAGGGAGAGTTCTCATTGTGCTAGAAGAGATCTAGCAAACTGAGAATTAATAATGTGAATATGCAGTGAAACAGTTGTTTAGCTAATTCCTGCTTTTGTAATTTTGCCTTTTTTTTTTTTTTTCCTCAAAAATGTTGAATTGATGAGTACTAAATGAGGAAGGGTTACAAGAGTAACCCCCAGGTGTACAAAGCTCTATTTGGTCATCTGTTCTTTTTTTCTTCTTTCTGCTGTAAGAATATGAGCGATGCAATGGCGATTCTACATAAGTTACAGACGGGTCTGGATGTCAATGTGAAGTTTACAGGTGTAAGAGTGTTTGAATACACACCTGAATGCATAGTGTTTGATCTTCTTGATATCCCCTTATACCATGGATGGTTAGTGGACCCTCAGGTAACTTGTTGTTTGTTTTTTTTTTTCAATAATTCAAACAGAATATAAGTAATTCTGAATTTTTCTCAGGGGGAAGGGAGAGGTTTCAGAATTTTACCTGGAGTCAATAATAATCATTATGGTAATGGGTTGCTTTAAATCTACTGAGAAAAATTGGATCCCCTTCAGAGAGGAATGAATACAGATCATGTGTTTTTTAGTGTGGTGACTTTGCAGAGTCTGCAATTATAGTTAGACTAACTTTAAAAACCTTCTGTGCTGAATAAATGACTGTTTAAATGAGAACTGTTGTGCTGCAGGAAGTAGAAAGTTGCCAAATACTGTGTCCCAGTCATTGTTTTTGAAAGCTCACTAAGAGAGCACTTGGAAGAAATGCAAGGTTACTTTCCTTCTTTATTCTGATTTACTAGTCAGTGCTTTTGAGAACTGAGCATTAAAACCAATTATAGAGAACAGCATCTTTAACAAACATATAATTTATTTTTAATGTTAGTATTTAATAAACAGTAAATTGGTACTCTTTACTTAGGGGGAAACTAGTGAGTTTGGCTGAAATAATCTGCCTGGGTTTTTTTCTTTTCATACCTTGGTCATGAAAGTTGCTGTTCTCTTATCCCATTGGACTTTACCGACCCACCCGACTGAGCCAACTGATTCCCCATTCCATCCTCCATCTGCTTTAGCAACAGCTTTCAATATTAAGTGCTAACTTAAGGGTTTAAAATGGGATCTAAGCCAGCCCAGGCTGTTACACATTTTGCTAAAACTTTCTGGCATAGTATTTTTTTTGGGATAATGTCCTTTCTTTATTGAAACTCTTATTATGAGTAATTGCTATAGGCTCACTGTTGTCTTCTGTTCTTACAAAGGTAAGTTCTCTGTTTTGTGGTCTTCCCTGTTCCAGGTTGCTGACATAGTAAAAGCAGTTGGTAACTGCAGTTACAATCAGCTGGTGGAGAAGATAATTTCTTGTAAACAGTCAGACAACAGTGAACTGGTTAGTGAAGGTGGGTAACTTTCTTCTGTGCTTTATCGAAGTATATACCCTATCAAATCTTAGTTACGTACTTTGTATGTGATGTTGGTATGTAGAGATACAAGTGTGAAGAGCTACATTTTGTCTGCTGAGCTTCTTCCCTGGGCGGGCAGACAGTACTGTACTTGTCTTTTAAACTTCCCTGACGCAATTTCCAAACCAAGGATCAGCCTTTTTCTCTTGGATCTATTAAATACAGTTTTTAAAAAGCTGGAGGGAACTTCTTTTCTGAAAAGGTGTTATAAGCAGCACTTCAATTTCAGCTTGGCTATTTATTATCTCCTATAATTAGAATATGAATTATATACTACATGATGACAAGGTAAAAAGCAGTAATACTATAAGTGGATATAGCATTTCTGAACATGAGAAGTTTATCTAAAATGCTGAGGTTTTTGAACTTCCAATTCATTTTCGCTTCTCTAAATGTGTTCCCTTAGATTTGTGGCAATATAGGGCATCTTCGTAGGGAGGAGATGGAAAAATACTACCATTGTAACCAGATTTTATATATTAAGAAGTATGTAATAGACACACATAACAGTATGTGTTGCTTTTGTAGGATTTGTAGCTGAGCAATTTCTAAATAACACAGCTACACAGCTGACATACCATGGACTGTGTGAGTTGACTTCAGCTGTCCAGGAGGGAGAGCTTTGTGTATTCTTCAGGAATAATCATTTCAGCACCATGACCAAATACAAGGTATATTCAGCATATTTGTCTTAATTGTTGTGGCTTATATTCTCATTTCAAAGCAAATCTTGGTTTTCCTCATTCTGGAAATAAAATTCCAGATTATGGTCATATGTAGGTATGCCTTACGGTGAATATAAGGGGTGTAGCAAATGTTACTTGTGAGTTACTGGTTACAGTGTTTTAGATATCGGGATGCATTCTCACTTTAAATCTACTTGTAGCTCTTCACTTTGCTTAGTTTGTTCCCTGTGTTAACTGCCTTTGTGGTTAGGTATAATTACTTACGTCTCTTACATGGCTTAAATTTACTTGCAGTGACTGGCAGTGAAGAAGTTAATTAATTTTTTGTTTCTGGGGATAGAAACCTTTGCTTTATGTTTGGGCCAACAGATGAGTAGCTCCATCATGTTGTTCAAAATGCCAAACGTTTGGAGAAGTTGAGGGGAGCTACAGTACTGGTTCCCTTTGTTAAAGGGATTGTTTTTTTGAAGCTGAAATGGGGGAAGGAAAACTGTAAGAATTGTGAAAAGAATGTTCCAGGATAGGAAAAGCAAACAACAACTTAGTTAATGCGTCTGGGACTCCTCCTTTGAATTTGGACTGTAAGAACTAAATCCTAAGAAATACTGAATTAAAATATTTGAAGAATAGTATTATTTATTAGTTCTGCATTTTAAGCTTTACTAATTCTCAGTCAGTATGGTTTTAATCTTGTCCTTTTTGAAAGTCTTGGACTGCTGAAATGCTAAGTTTTGGAATTTGGAGCCATTATTCTTGTGTTTCATAGTCATTGTGGTGACTTCATGCAGCTAGTGTTGAATTTTCATGTTATCTACAGGCTTTTAGTTTCTGAGGCTGCCATTTTTAAACATGGTTGTTCATTTTCCTTTGGACTTCTGGCGAGTAGTACGTTACAGAATTTGAGATACCAAGAAACTTTTAATAAAGATGTAAAATCTTTGTTTCTAAAAGCCAGCAGTAACCTTTCTGTCTGCTTCTAACCTACCTAGCTGTTTGCAATAGATACATGATTTCATATCAAGGAAGTCAGAAATAGTCTAGGCTTTTAGCCAAGGCTAGCAATGCAGAAACTATTGGACCTCCCAGATACATCCATAAAATCAAAATGTGTCGTTGTCACAGAGTTGATAATTTTCAACTGCTTTACTCTTTCCTTTTACTAGGTTTAATGCTAGCTCTGCAGATTTTTAATGGAGTTTCCTTTACGTCACAGTTTGAGCAGTATTCAGCAGTAGCTGGACTATGGTGAAAAGTCCATCAATTATGAAAACTGAAGACACAACATATACCAGAGAAAATGGAAGGTGTAGAACTTTTAGGGCAAGAACTATGCAATAAGTTTGTCTATCTGATACTGCCCTTCCCTCTTACGCTTCCGTACCAATATATGGAAACAGACAAAAGAAACAGTTGCAAAGTTAAACGGAAGGGAATTACACCCGTAATAAAAGCTATGTGCACGTAATAAAACTTGTGTGGTTTTAGAGACAACAGTTTGAATACTTAGCAAAAATATATAATTAAAATCCCTTAGGTACATCAGGCCATTTAAGTATCATTCTAATGAAACTACAACTTTTATTTGGAAACTTTCATGTACAGCTGATAGAGTGACTTGTATGACAGAGATACTTCTGAAGTTCACCTTCTTTTTTTCAGGCTGATATTTTAGTGAAGGGGCTTGGATTTCAGTATGTTGTATTTGAAGGGTTTCAGTATGTTATATTTGAAGGGTTTCAGTATGTTATATTTGAAGGGTTTCAGTATGTTACATTTCAAAGGAAGTAGAATGTAGGCTGATCTTAACTGCACTTATTGGAGGAAATTAAAAGAAAAAAAACAAACCAAACCAAACCAGATCACTGATCCTTTTCAAAGGAAACGTAGAAGCCTGTTCCAGGGTTTTTTAAGTGCTTATGTTTTTTGGAATCTGCTTTAGAATTGAAGAGTCTGTGTAATTTTAGGAAAGAAAATACTTGGTGATATTGAAATAATTCAAAGAGCAACATTCATAAATTGGAGACATTTTCAAGTTCAGCATAACAGTTTTTCTAATTGGACAGATGAACCAGAGTAGCCTTAATTCTGCTCTTTATTGGTGCCATGAAACAATTGTATGATTGTGGTTGAGCCATTTTTAATATTTGTGGTGCTTGGCTGTTCAGATTACTTTTTTTAAAGTTGTATTAAAGTCCCATTCACATCCCATCTGGTGAGCTTGTTTTAGACATGATAGATATTTTCTGGTTTTAAGTCTATGACATACGCATTTGCCTGTTCCTTAAGGAGGGATAATCTTTAGAGCAGAAATGGGAGAGGTGGAGACTGGTAACATCCTTTCTGCATATAATTTGAGCTCTCTGGTTTTGAAGTATTTATTACAAAGAGTTTGCAGTGTTTAATATTTGACACATAGTATAAATTTAAAAATGCAAGATTTACTAAAACTGACAACATTACCCAGTTCTTTTGAGTTTAGAGTGGCTTTCCACTGCCGGATCAAATGATTTTTATCTTTGCTTTTGAATTGCTTATTTTAGAGGGCTGTTTTACTCAAATGAGAGTTACTTGGAAGTGTGAATAAACAGCACAGTATTCTGAATTCTTGTGTCTTTGGTTTGAAATTTCTTTCACAGGCTGCTGTTACAGGATGTTGCATAGTGAGAAGAACTCGTTGGAAACAACTGGGGTACTAGTTGCCCAACTTCTATGATTTATTAGGCTGGTTAATCTACTCATGCTTCCTTTGTGTCCAGTGTGTATTCATTTTTTGGTTTTGCATGGATAGTAAAGGAATTTGTAAGGAAAGGAATTGGAGTGACTCCTCATAAACATGGCTTTTTAATATTTTTTTTAATTGTTACTAAATTAACGATAATAAAATAGGTGGTTGGGGTTTTTCACTCTTAAGTACTTCTTGCAAAATCAGAAATAGAATGGTTATGAACATAGAGCAACATCATGAATTCCTGGTGTAGAGTAAGAAGGTATCAGTGCTTTATATATTGTAGGCAAAAGCTTATTAACAGTCTCTGCTAGCAGATATTTAAAAGGCATTTCTACACGAGTTACGGGTATGACAATACTTCAGGCTTTGAGCTGGACAATTATAGGTGAAAAGTATTAGAAAACTTAAAAATAAGAGTATTTGATTTATGAACAAGAGAAAAAGTCAAAGGAAGAAAATTGGTTTTAGTTCACTGTCACTGTACGTGAAACCTTTTGTTACTGTTTTGAAGTATTCCAATTTAACATATGGACACTTCTAAAAGGTTAATCTTCAGTCAGGTAACTTGTGCCATTTTTATGAATCTTCCAAATTCCTGACTCTGGGAGTAAGAGTTAAATGGAAGGGTCTCATTCAGTAATATTTTTTTTAGTTACAGCTTTCACATCAAAATAGTGGAAGCTTGATGAGTAAAGTAGCAATAGTAGAATAACGGTGACAGTGAGCTTTTTCAGATATTACTAGGAAAAGTTTTGGAGTGATCCTTCTCGAAAGACTTGAGTGTTGTGTTGATACATTTTTTTTAAACTGCTGAGTTGATATTGCAGTGTAATTGTGAAGATTCCCAGATTGCATTTCAGGATACACCATCAGTTAAATTCAGTTTGTTTACTCAGGTTACATTATTTAATGTCGTCTTGAATAATAATATTTTACTAGTCCTCTTCTGAAAATGGAATTAAATTTGCATAATACAATATGTTGTCATTTCTGTTTTGGGCAAAGTCTGAGTATTAGGATCGTGTTTATGCCTATGAAAAAAAAAATAACATTTTCAAAATCAATTATCACCTACAAAAGAAAAGCAAATATGGCAATACTGTATTAGACATCTGCTTAAGTATGGTGAGTGTTAGTTAATAATGGCAGTTCAGTTATCAGATTCTTCATCTCTTTCAGTACTGTTTGTCCATTTGCCTGAGTAGTCATTTATTCTACTTCCTGTCCCTTTAATTGCATATTAATAGTCTTGGCTCGTGTGATTATACAGAAATCATTTTCAGCACTTAAAGATGTGATTATTTTTTTTTGCCTTTGCTTTTCATTACACAGATAATAAATACATCAAATGATAATTCCCTAGATCAAGGAAAAACAGGACTGTAAAGAGGGGATCAGTTTGGTAAGAGTATCTTAGTTCAGTTGGAATGTTTTTCCCACTGGTGTGACTGTAATACAACCTATTTTCTTTACTGAAAAGTGACAAGATACTTACCTGTTTGGATTTTTAACTATGTGTGTTGCAGTTATGTTTTCTAGTTTCTTTATATCGGGATTCGATTGCAGAACTCAGTACAGACTTTTAATTAAATACAAAGTATATTTCATAGCAGTAATTGCACTTTTTCCTTCGGTGTTTAAGATCTCTGAGTTTGGCATAGTAGGGGTAATGTATATAACTTCTTAAAAACATGTTTAAATATTTTTCCGTTTCTTAGTAAGTGTGCAGGTTTCATTTCTCAAGATTACTCTGTTGAATCAAACGGTGCTTACCTTTTTAAAAATGCATACTTTTCTCTAACAGTTAAAACATTCAGATAGATTGATCTCAAGAAAGCACTCACTCACATTGACGTAAAATATATATAACCCCATAATAAGAACCAAGATCCAGAAGTCCAAGAGAACATTTTCATAGATTTTAAAGGATAAGGCTTTAAATGTTTGTCTTTACTGTAAAAGCTATTGGTCAGAAGTTTGGTTTTCCTTTTCAGTTTTCTAAACTGCTGGAAACTTGGTGATTGGCTTCAGAACAAGGACTGTAAAAGCATTAATTTTAATTATTTACTCTGGTCATGGAATTAAGCCAGGAAAGGAGGTCTTGTGGGCTGCAGGTGATGTTACTGGTTACATCTGTTTGCATTTCAGAGTAGTTTTCTGTGCAAACCAGAGACTAAGAGATTGTTCTTCCGGAGAGTAGTATTGCTTTTATCCTTCCTTAGCTTTATTTTAAGCTTTTTATATATGAAACTATAAAATCTGGGCATTGGTCTACAATATCTAGCTATTGAGTCTTAGAATAAATAATTATTTGTAACTTTATTGTAGGTACAGCTTACATTAACAGTTATGCACTTAAGACTTTATTTTACTGTTTTATTCCCTGTTAAGAGCAGGTACAAGTTTCTATTACTACTACTATTATGTGCTAGTACTTTTGGGGGCAGTGTTAACCCATGAGACTATTAATTTAAAAGCCCCATATTTAAAAATGAACCTTAAAGGTAAGCTGTTAATACTTTAGAAATGGCCAGTTAAGATTTTATGAAGGTTGAAACACATTTATTTTGTAAAGTATGATGTTGTTCTTTGCAATGTGTATTTGAAAAACATATTTATGTACATTTGTTAGCTTAATTGCATGAACTTAGTGTGCTGATCATCCTGTTTTAGCTTTAAACCTGACTAGAAAGTAAATGAAGAATCAGCACCATGATCTAATAAGTAGAAAACACATTCTGAATTTTACCTATTTTAAAGCCTCCTTCCTAAATTCTTATTTCAGTGTAAATGAATATTTCAACACTGGATAATTCTTACTGATTCTGTCACTGTGTGCCCTCTTACACTTTTCCTTCTTGTGTGTTGCACTGAGTGGAGCTGAAGTGGAGAAACTTTGGTAGGCTGCAAATGTCATGTAGAACTACTGGACACATCCAGTCAGAAATCCCAGTGTTAACATTATACTGGTTTTATGTCAGTGTCTCTTACCAGAGGCTGATCTGCTAAGTGCTGAAGAATGGTGGCTGGTTCCTGGCACCAGTCATATCATTCCTTAGTGCAGCTCAAATTTAGAGGCAATGTGAAGGTCGTATGATAAGAAGTTGAAGGTTGTATCATAAAAAGCTTTTCATATATCACAAAATCCCCTTGGTGGAATTTCGCTGTGTCAGTGAAGTTGGCCTGTGAGCCTTTAGAACTGGGAAAAGAACATGCACTGGTATTAAAAAAATGCCTGTAAAACCAGTCTGTACCTATGGCCTTTATTTGCTTGCTTCAAGTAGATGGAACAAAATGGTTAAGTTTTAGGATGACTGATATCTGTACAGATGATGCCTAGTACAAAAAGAGCTCACTCATATTTTGTATATGAAGCTGAAAGTTGGCCAGTTATTAACAAAGTGTTAACGAGGGTCCTTGGGAATCTGTTTGGGTTTTTTGAGGCAATTATACTAATATGAAGTAGAGATCAGAGTGACTGATAAACAAAAAGGGAAAGTTGACTTTGGTCTGACCTGTGCTTCCCCATTGTTCTTTCATTCCGATAAAGTTAAAAGAACTCAGTCTCTTCACAAGTACTAGGGAGGCTGTGTTTGTTAGTTTGCTAAGTTTTGTTAGAGTGAAGCAGCATATTTTTAAGCTATGCAGTTGGTACTGGAATTCCAGTTGGTACTGGTACTGGAGTTAGGGTGGTATTGTTTAGGTAATATAGTGATACGTAATGCAGTTTATTGCCTTTCATCAGGGAGCTGTGTTAAAATGTTTATTTACTCTTGAGATGACATCTTAAAAGTCAGTGTCCATGTGTAGTTCCGCTGAGGAAGTCTTAAAACCCAAGTAAGAATATGAATTTTATTTAAGATTGAAACATTTCTTTCAAACAGCTGCTAGTTTTAAAATGTCTTTGAATGACAGATACTAGATTCTAATCCCACAGAAGTAATTATATACTTTAATATTTGTGTGTGGAAAGTTCATCTTCTAATACTTGGGAGATTATGAAGGCATTAACATTTCTCTATTTCAGTATTCTTAGTAAGCTACACTGAGCCGTTTAAAAAGTAATTCAAAATATATGGCATAATAGAAGAAAACTTGACAGCCCTCAACCCCCTTTTTTATCTTTTTAGGCTTTGTTAGAGTCAATGCACTGGACAAAATAAAATTGAAAAGGTTCAAATACACTTAACTTAAAGATTCTGTGATTTATTTTTTTACATTTTTTAAAGACTTCTTTAAAGACTTATATTTAAGTTGCTGTGAAAAAGGTATTTTGTATGAATTGGAGGTGATGTGAAATTCCTTGCTTTTATTTTCTTCATGTGGTTTTTAAGCATCAGAAGTAGCAAACAGTTTTTAGGTAGGTTTCCGAGGGAAAGATAATCCCCTAGATCATGTTATGTGATCAGACTTACTGCTGACGGTTACATTTATGTCTGTAAGCCCACCTGTGCTGTGAAAACTGCCATTCCAAAGCTTGAAGATAAAACAGTGTCCTTTGTGGGTTTTTTACTTGTTCTCTTTGGCCTTTTGTATAAGCACATCTTGTGATATTAGGTAATATTAGAACAATTGCTGCATGTGAATCTTCAAAGCATATTTTTGTCATATGACGTACCAGCCATAGAAGGGATGGCTGTAACTTAGTAGGATTGCAAAGCTCTGATTCGGATTTCACTGTATCCTATAGACAGTATTCTAGTGACTTGAGAGAAATCTGTCAGCTAGTCAACCCCTTGTTGAGTAGGGGTGATGTTTTAATTTTTTGCCTGTCAACCTAGGGAATCATTAGAACAGAACTGCCTTGTGTGTGCCTGTGGTATATGGTTGTTAGCGTAAATAATATTCTTGCATTGGAGTATAATTCTAAAAAACATTATAAATAGGATAAGATTGAAATCTAATTTAAATTTAAATTCAGACATGGATTTTTGTGCTGCTTTGCTGTCCCTCAAACATGCAGCTCCATCTCCTTTTACTTGAGAATCAGTTTTGTAATATCCCATTAATTTCAGCTCCTCTCCCATTCCTTCAGCCTAAACTTGCCTTTCATCCTCCTTGTACCTTGGCTTCTGGACTTGTTAGCATTGTCTCTTTCACTCCCAGACCAGCCCATTTTATAATTTCAGTGTTTAAATCAAGAAATCTGACCTTGTGGAACTGTAAAAAGGCCAACATCCAACAAAAGCAGTTACTGGTGACAACTGATAGGAAGAATTTTAAATTTAGCCTTTTTTTCAATTGAAATAGACTTCGTTCTGTTAAACCCCATTATAAAACATAAAGTCTGAGATGCGGTTGTTTTGAGGTAATGCCTCTTGGATTATTTGGAAAGATCACCTTTGTCTCCAGATCTTGCCTTTGGAGTTTAATGCGATTTGTCCTGGGACTCAAATTTGCATTACAAGTCTTGAGGCATACTTCTCAGTTGCATTTACAGGGAGATAGCAAAGGTATATATTCATATTTTATATGAATTTTTAGTGAATGTGAACTTTCATTAATAGTACAGAATTACAAGATGGAATCCAGAAACTGTGTGGCTGTTAATTTAGCAATGAATGCTAGTATCTGGTGGTTTAGTGCTCTGTACTGATTCATTTATGTTTTAATCTTGCTAAAAAATCTAAATGAATGTTTTACTGGAATGCAGCGGTTGTGTTAGCTGAGCATTTCTGCTAAATCTAACAGATTGTAGAAAATAATGTTTTAGTTTTACAGGTTTTCTTTATTCTTCTGCATAGGGCCAGCTTTACCTGCTGGTGACAGATCAGGGCTTTCTCACAGAAGAGAAAGTTGTTTGGGAAAGCTTGCACAATGTGGATGGTGATGGAAATTTCTGTGATTCTGAATTCCACCTACGGCCTCCATCAGACCCTGAAACTGTCTACAGAGGGCAGCAGGATCAAATAGATCAAGTACTGTATTTCTGCTTTTCTATTGTACTTCTCTTTTTTGCTTGTGACTATGTGTAACAGTTAGTACATTTTTAGTTGTGTACTTGTGCATATACAGGACTATAAAAAAATTCTTTAGCTACTTAGGTTGGGGTTCTCACATGTGCTACTTTGAGGTATTAGCATGACTTCAAGGGAAGAAGAGCAGGGCCATCTGTGAATAGTTTGGAAAATCTAATTTTAATCTCCTAGAATCCCCTTCTGCAAAGAACTTGGGTGAAATGTCATATCTGCCTTGCATATGGAAACAGAAACAGCACTGCGAAACTTCTCCCCATAACAAATTCCTTTCAGGTCATTAATATTTTCATAACTGAACTTTGCCTTCTGATGCCCACTTTGCTGACTGTAGGTCAAAAATCATAGCGAATCATGTGTGGTGGTGGTCATTTGGTTTTTTAACTACATTGAATTAGTGTCTGAGATGGAACTCATTTGTAATATATAAGCGTATAGCAAGAAGCTCCTGGGAAACGTGACATTTTGAATAAGCATAGAAGTTTATTTTCATAATAACCACCATTAATGTTTTTTAAATACTGGGGGAAAATGAATAAACAGATGGGTTTTAATAAATGAAAGCAGTGCATCTCTTGCAGAATAAAGAGTCTGACAGAAGTAACAGCAATAAAATCTACTTCTACGTAGAACTTATATGAGCTGACACTGTCTTTTGCTGCTGTCCAGGTAATGGAATTGAGAACCGGATAGAGATTTTATTTATCAAAAACACATGTAAACAAAACATAGCTCTTGTGTTTTGTATGCTGTGACATAGGCACTGTGAAAGGAAAAATGTAAAGTAGCTGTGTTCAGCCTTTCTGCAGGTGAGGTTATGGATTTGTTCTCAAATTCGTCTTTTCCATGAGGTAAATACATTTGAAGATGAGGTTGTAAGAAAAGTGAAGTATTGTGTAGCTGCACATACTGAAAAATTCACTGATGTGACTTGCCTCTTGTCTATGTGGAAGAGCATTAACAAACAAGTTTACTGTTTAGGATTACCTGATGGCATTGTCTCTACAACAAGAGCAGCAAAATCAAGAGATTAACTGGGAACAGATCCCAGAAGGAATCAGCGATCTAGAGCTAGCAAAGAAGCTCCAGGAAGAGGAGGACAGGAGAGCTTCTCAGTACTATCAGGAACAAGAACAAGCAGCTGCTCAGGTCCAGGTAAGAAAGTATTATTAGAGACTATGATAATGAATTTTGTTAAGTTGCATACACACATCTACATTTGTAATTCTTTTGCACTGGTAAGACTGTTTACATTCTGTATGGCAAGTGACGAGATGAGTATAGGAATCTTAAGGAATATGCTGTAATTGTTGGAGTGTGCATGCAGATATAGCAGTTGCTTCCACTTACATGCTAAAAAGCAAGCTTAACCAAAGTTACAGTTTCATTCATATGGTTTAAGTGGGAATAATGGGATGAGTTAATATGTAAGGTTACATAGATTATATTAGCCAATATTTATGTTACTTGCAAAATAGCATTCAAACGAGCTTTTTGATAGTAGTCAAAGTTTGGTCTTTATTTTGTCTTGCAAAAGTTTGTTGCTGTACATTTTTAGGTGTTTCACTCTGATACACGATTTTATTCAGTCCTGTTTCTAATTAGGAAATGTATAGTTTCTCCCTGTGTAACTTCTATCCCATCCCTATGAGCAGTTGCACTGCATGTTTGGAAAATGTGATTCATGCACATTAATATCCAAAATTACCATGTAACTAAACCTTGTGTGCAAGAGGCAGTGTTTAAGTTGGTGTTCTGGATTCAGGGAGATCTTAACCACTGAAGACTTTTAAAACTACTTTTATTTACAAATTGGTGAAAAATCTATGTGAAGGCTCAGTCTTTGATGGCCTGAAGCATCAAAACCTTCAATTGATGTTAAGCATGAAGAAAGAATTTTGGCAAATAAAAGTCTTATTTCCACTGCGTGTTGCTTTAATAGATCTTCACTAGCTATTTCTAAGACACAGATTCACTACTGCGGGTTGCAGAAAGGTAGAACTGAGGAATCTGCTTAATGCTGCCTAACAACATGCACTCATTTGCAGCTGTGAATGGATAGCAGCTGGAATAGCTTACGTTGCCTTTGTATAGCAGCTCCCTTGCCAAGTTCTTAACTAGTTTCTAGTCACAGCAAGCTGCTGCTTTGCTGTATCTAGCTATCAAAACCAGCACTTTTAACTCTGCAACTTCTGACATGTGGATTATACCCTTACAAAAGGAACTAGGAAAAAATTCCAGTATGGTAAAATAGAAGTGTCAGAAAGAGCTGGAAGCCACATTTTAGCATTGAAACAACCCATCTGAGCATGTGGATACAATGGAAGGGACACACAGGACTTGAAATTTATTTTCATTTTCAGCTGACTCGATTTCTTAGAAATACTAAGTTTTAGCAGTTCCGGAGTATTCATACAGAGGGACCCTATCTGAATTCTGATGGTTCACATAAAGTTGAACCTTCTGTTTGTGAGCTTGACCATAGAGTAATACTTCAGATTGCATGTACGGTGATGTTTGTTTTGTTCACTTTATTTTTTCTACATAGCAGGTACAAGGTGCTGCTTCTCCAGCAAGCGGAAGACAATCTGGGAGTAATGAACGCAAACGAAAAGAGCCTCGAGAGAAAGAGAGAGAAAAAGAGAAGAATAGCTGTGTTCTCTTGTAAGAGAAAATGGATTTAGTCTGGAGCCAAGTGCATGTCCTCAGAAGCAAAAACAAGGAGTAAAAAGGAAGACAAACCTGTTACATGCCGCCTGTGCCTGATTACCCCATGGATTTTGTTCATGTTTCAAGAGAGGATGGGTGACTTTGTTACAATCATACAGACTTTCTGCAAAGTCATGGCGCGTGCTGCTCAAGATGGAATTCCAAATCACAGTTGGATGTGGCTGTGCTTTGAGTTAGTCATAAGAAATACTGCACCTTGTAGCTGAACACACAAATCTTGGCAGTTTTGTGTCATAGTGACATCCATTACTCATTACATCAGTTAGTAAGCTATTTTATCTTCTACTCTGAACAAAGGAGGTAATTTGTTTTGTGTAAGACTTTTTCCTGAAGTCTTTACACTAGCACAATGGAGTTCTGTGTTACTTACATGGTATGAAACTATATCTTAGGCTGGGTATAGTCTTCATGAAACAGGAGCCCGAATAACAGCTGGGCACTGCCTCCTCAGTGTGTCCAGATTTCCTTGCTTCTGGATCTGGTATGCTCTTATTTTTTTTTAACCCAGATTTATACTGTGTTACTGCTATCATTGCACCTCCTGGCCAGCTTTCTTGCCCCAAGAATATGTGACCTGATAGGCATCACACAAAAAATTGTCATAGAGAATGGGGCATTTATTTATAAGCAAGATGAATATTGTTTGCTTTTCTTGCAATTACAAACTGGGTGTGGCAACTCAGATGTTATCAGGGTTAAACAAGTAATTTTATAGGTAACTTCTTTTTTCTTTTAGTATATTTTCTCTTGTAGGTAAACTGGACCAGATAAGTTCTTATTTATTGACCTCTCTATATGATAGGTGAATGATGAGAAGTGACTAAGGTCTATAATAATCATTATTCTATGTAAGAATGCAGAGTTAAAATAACTATCTGCCTTTTTTCCAGAAGTACCTTGAACTTTAACATGATGCTAACATGTCCACTTGTATATTTAAGCAAGTGTACTGTAGATAAAACCACACTTATTTGTTTTATAAATCATGTATCCTTAAAAAGCACACTTCTGAAGGGTGGTGAGAAGCGAGGCTGTTCTCAGAGACTGTTTGGGAAGGTGGTCAGGTGTAATATTTTGTTTTTAAATTACTAATTTAGAATTTTTGGAAAGCAGATTTTTCTAATTTATGGGAACCAAATAAACATGTTGCCTCTTGTAATATTTATAGAATGCAGGAACAGAACTCTCGCTGAATTTTGAGGGAACTGCAGATCTCGGTCCACTTTGAAGTCAGTAACAGTTACCTTCCTGCTGAACCTTTTTGATAAAGATTTCTATTTAGCAATTTGTAGATACTTTTGAAAAAGGCTGCTTCTCCTGGACAAGATACATATTTGTGCTCTAAGCCTGGGTAAGTGCATTAGTATACAATAATCTGGGAAAGTGAAGGCAGACAGGTGGGATATGACATTCCTGGTTTCAGGTGTTTGGAGAATTTCTGAGGGAGAGCGTGTCTAAACACTTGTCCACCAGTAAGAAGCTGCTGTTACGAACCTAGGATGAAAATTAGATGGATAGAGGAAGAATGTCTTACTAACTAAAGGGCCAGTTTGTATCGCTTTTTTTCTTTCATGCCTCTTTTGGTTTTCCCACTTTTGTTACAATTTCCCTTTTATAATAATGAAGTAATGAACAATAGGAGGTCTCTAATACACAAACTGTAAATTTAAAGATTTCTCTATTATCTAGAAAAGTCATGGCCAGAAAAGTAATTTTAATACGTAATGTATGCAGATAATTTTCTCTGTCAAAGCAAAGGTGGACATCTTTTTTCCTTTGCAGCAGCCTAACTTCTTCAAACAAATTAATGTGATGGAGGATCACCAACATAATGATTTACCTACTTTAAGCAGATCAGAAAATATTCCAGTAGTGTCAATAACAAAGACTTTAAGCCAGAATGTTGTTTAAAAACATTCTGTTACTAAGATTTCTCCAAATTTGTGTATTTACATTTATTTATTGACCTTGAAAAATAAATATGTCACGCTAAGTGTTTGTTATCTTATTATTTTTAGTGACAGTACTGTCACTTTAAATTCCTTTTTCAACAAACCTAGCTGGAGCAGCATTGTGGCTATAGTGTGTATCTTTTCACCCCAAGATACTTGCTCAGATTAGAATAATTCATGTAACATTTCCAGTTTCAGACAGATGTGCCTGAAACCTAAAATACTGTAGTTACAGTAATGTCATGTGGTCACAGAGGGAAAAGAGTTAAATGCCAATAGTCATCATGAAGTCTGAACTCCCAGATAATTCAGGTTTCCTTTCAATAAAGGAGTAAGGAGTTTCAGGTTAAATGAGATGGCAGACATGCTGTTCAAACAGTTCTCTGTTTGTATCTTTTTCTTTACAGGTCTTGAAGCTTTGGAAAAAAGGTAAAGAATTTGTGAAATCTAGGACATTGTTCTGCACAGGCTGAGCTTGTTAGTAGCCAAAGTTTTAAGTGGATGAGCTTGTTAGTATTCAAAATGAGACGCATCTGGAAGCTTTGTTTGTACCCCACTGTGACTAAGCACTCCAAAAGCAACTATCACAGTTGGTATCTCTGACAGTATCTGGTGGTTAAAAATAATGAACAGAATTGCTTTTATCTGTAACCATGAGCTTTGAAAACAAAGTATTGATGGAGTACCCGAAAGACAATGTTTACTTCTGACTGCTTCATTTGCCTCTTTTTTGAAGCTAACGTTCTGGTGAAAGAGTGCAGATTTATACTTTAAATTTGTTTACACAATTTAGCATGCACATGCTCCAAATGCCTACATAATATATAGGAAAGTGTGCAGAAAAGTAGAGTAGAATTTGTTTTCCACTACATAAAAGCTAGCACAGAAGACAGAATCCTAGAATTTTTTGTTGTTGCATTGTAGTTGTGAAATAAAGCTAAATACAAGTATTCTTGGAATTAGCAAAAAACAAAGAGCACTGCCATAGTGATAAATGTTTTACTAAAAGGCACTTTGTAAATGCTCAAATGAACTATTTTTCTTGTGATGCTTATGGAATCTGCAACCCAACACAGCAGATCCAGAGGCAGATTGTAACACAAGGATAAAACTAGCATTCCTGAAAATTCACTTTAATACAATGCAAAAAATACATTTTGTAGCTAGTCATCTAGTCAGCATGTGTTCAGATTGTCTTTGCAGAGCTGCTCTTGTGGGTCACAGACACACAACCTACAAGTGAAGCATATGCTCTTCTGTGTACACTCGCATTGGATTGCTGATCTCCACTCCCATTTGGTATTTCACGTTATTGTTAAATGCTTCTTTAAACTTGTACACACAGGTTCTTGGAAAAAAAAAATTCCAGTATGTAATAAAAGGCAATTTGAGTTCTTGAAATTGAACTTTTGGTGTATTCAGCAGGAAATACTCAAGTAAAAGGTGAAGATAATGTACATTTAATTGAACCTTTCTTCTTTCCTGCTACAATAGACCTGCAATACAAAGCTAGCTCGTTGCTTAGATCAGCTTTCTTACCATTAGGATGCTTATCATAGTCAATTGTTGAAGTTTATACAAAGTACATTCTAAAAGACAACATACTGAATTAAGAGCAGTATTCATTTTATGTGAGAGTAGTCTTTAATGTTGTAACTGTAAGCAGCAGGTGACTCATGAAATGCAAGTTAATTGATGCAGTATCAGCATTACAAAGCGTATTAGAGAAAAACAAAAGTAACAAGCCTTAGTTTGTTTGCAATATAATGCTGACATTTCTTCCATCTATGCTGATAGCAAGACCTCAGTAGCAAGAAAAGTCTGACACTGAAAAATGTTCGTATAGTCTAATGATAGCAAATGTCACATGCAGGAACTTAAACATATGCATTTTATCTTGTGATTCCAGTGCAGTTACTTTTTTTGAAGCATAATTAGCAATAAACTGTTAGCAGTGTTGTTTTGAGTGGGAAAATTTGGTGAGATGAATGACACTTTGTTACACAAAATCATTTATACAGAAGTCAATTTGATGTTAACTTTCACAGTGCTTTCATATAGCTTCTTCATGTTCACAGACTTCTGATAGTTGTCCAGTAAAAAAGCAATGTATTTAAGTTCAACTGTCACCTGCTTTGATGGGGAAGAAGCGCCATAGGGAAATGCCGAGGGGGAAAGAGGCTGGAACATAAAAGTCCCTACATCACCTTTTGAGATTGTTTAGGGATTTGTCCTTAATTTTGCTTTTACTTCACACATAAACAGCTGCAGCACAGCATGCAGTGGCCAAGTCTTCTCATCTAGGTAAGGTCCAGCAGTTACTTCATAGTGGGTTGGTACTGTCTGTTCCTGTACACTCTCTTTTGTGCTCTCATAATGCTTCTAGGTCAAGATGAGCTGCTCTGACCCTCTCATAATTTACAATACTTGTATTAAATGTCAGTTCCCTGCTGCTCAGTTCTGGTCATTATGTCAGCTCTTACCACCTCTACCCTAAGCTCTCTTTACCCTGGAGAGCTAGCTCTGGAGAACTTGCTGAAACCTCAAAGTTCTTTACTGCATTTACAGTTCTTTCTCTGATTTGTAGTTTTACTTGTGCTAATGGAGAAGCTTCATGTGCAGAAATGAGAAATTCCTAGGATTTTGGCATTTAAGGACTTTAGCTGTCTATCTTCAGAAGTCATGATCCTGTGTTTACTTGACAGCATAGAATTCTCAGCACAATGCTTTAATCACTAGGTGAATCACACATTTAAGGAAGCAGGTGGTGGTGCCCTGGCTAAGAGGCTTGCTGGGGCTAAGGGTGAAATATGATTGATATAGTCAAACACTAAGCCAAATGTATACAGATCTTGGGAGTGGACAGGGACACAGAATCGTGTAAGTTATACATCTTTTTAATTAAACTCTTAACTGTCCTTCAGTGCTGACCCGATTTCAGTTTAGGTCCCATCCAGCTCAAGTTGTACCTATTGTGAAATTCGTAAGGATCATAAGTGATATACCAGTGTCATGATCATGAGCTGATGCCTTTAGCTCACAGAATCTTAGACTCCCCATCAGAGTTGGATGAAGTAATGTGACATTTAGTCTGTTTGAAGTTCCCATTCATTTTGAAGCCATTAGTAAAGCTTGCATAGACTTGAGAGTTAAGCCTTCAGCTGTGATATTTTGAAGTTGAATTATGCTAAGCATAATTGAAGAACTTCCATTGACATAGCTTGGCATTCTTAGATTTCTAAAGGTGTTTCAGGAAAAGCTGGGATAACTGCTAGTTTTGTCTGCAGCCTTCTTTTCTCTGGATCACTGGCACATGCCAAGGAAAGGGTCAAAACTGCAATTACAAGAAACATCAGTGTGTCTGTGAACTGAAATGAGCTAAGTGGGGGTACATCCTTGGGTTTGGGTCATTGGTGATTTGGGGAAGCTCCAAAATAACAATATTAAAACAGACCTTTCTTTTCCCCCTTTAGATGAACTGTCCATATCCAGTCAATATTTGCATTGAATATTTTTTCTTAGGGCTTGCTTATGTGCTCAAGTCTGTGAAGCTGCTGAATTAATGTTTATGCTTGTAACCTAGTAAATACTGCTGAGCATACAGATAGGAACACTTCTGCCTTCAGGCACAGAAATAACACTGACAATCAGTATTTACGCTTACCAACTATGATGCTTTTACATACAATGGATGTAGAATAGTTAAAGGCAAAATCTAAATAAAGCTCTTTACCATTGCTAAAACGTTATTTTTGGCAATGGCAAATTATAAAATTTAATGGAAACTATGAAGTCAGAGATAATAAGGTATTAATGTTGTTATGTGCTGCATCTCAGTGAGTACAGAATAGGCAGGAGCTGTACAAGACTAGCTGTGTTAGCCAGATGCTGTTGAAAGGCCCCATTTGATTTGGTGCCCCAGTTCCTTTACTGTAAATTCATGCAGCTCATGAATTTATGTCATGAAGACACAGTGTAGTTTAAGTAGACATAACCATGCCATCTTTAGCTACTGCTAACAATTTTAATACCGAGGACATGATGATACGGACTGCTCCATGTAATGTATTAATTCCAAGTGCATATTGTCATTAAGTCTGTATTATAATTTAATGTGCCAGCTATAATAAAGCTAGCATGATTACTTCTGTCCATGCTATAACTGCACTTCCTTTCTGTGGAAGAAATACAGAAAATCAGATGACTGTTTTCCTATAGACTTTGAAACTACCTTGAAATGCTCTTTGTAACACTTGTCTTTTTCGGTCTTAGGAATTAAAGAACATGTAGAAGTTTCTGCAGAAATGTAATGATTTGACACAATGTTTTCCTTGTCTTGTAGTATGTCTATATGGAATATAGTATTTTTTTTTAAACCCACCTTACTATTTGGTTCTGTAAGAGAATGCTGTATTTAGTTACATATGCTGCAGTCACCTTTTAAAACTAACCGTTTCGTAAGTAGCAAACCTAAGCTGTAGAAATTTCACTGGAAGGATTGAATAAATTTCAGGAAAAGAATTATTTCTAAACAAAGTAATGCAACATTTTGGTTTTTTCCTATGGTCTCCTGTGCACTGCAATAGGAAGAGGTCAGGGTTGTCTTGGTAGTCGCAGGACATAGTGGTGGCTGAATGTGTCTTAGGATCCTTTTAAACTTCTGGAGCAGCATTGCAATACTTGACACTTGCCCTAATCTTTCTCTATTAAACGTTTATTCAGTCCAACTTCCCACCCCCAGACACAGCCATGAGGAGGAGCAGGACACTGCAGTGCAGACTTACACCAGCTAGTTCTAGCATTTATTGAAATGTTTGTTATTTAAGTACCAGTGTGTATCAGCTCTAGAAGCAGAGAGCTGGGAGAAAAAACTGCTGTACATGCAGCTTCAGCTTTGCCTGTATGTGCAGCTTCAGCTGGAGCTTCCAAAGGGCTGAGGAAGCTGATGACCAATACTATTCTTTTGAAAAGTTGCAGACCAAATGTAGTTTAATCTATGCTGGGTTTACCTTTTTCTTTCCAAAAGAGGAAAGCTGCTGTTACATTATCCTGTGTAATCTCAGAGAAGAAATTCAGTTCAATTTTGAATTTAGCTGTGTCTCCAGCTTTCCAAGTTTTTCAGCATGGTGAGCCTATTTCCAATGAGACTTCATTTTCTATTCCATATTTTGTTGTCAGAGCATCAACTGGTCTCTTAATTGTAGGGCTTTTGTTATTCTAGATCAACCAGAGCCAAAAAGGGCTGATTTAATAATTAACAGTTTTGTTTACAATTGAATTCTAGTGAGGTCCTTCAGAGTTTGAAAACGGGTTCTATGTGAGGTAAGTGAATAAAAATGTTTTGGGTTTTTGGCCAGCTGCACCCCTGGCAGACTTAACAAATGAGCTGCAATTGTAAACCCCTACCCCCATTGCTATTGGCAAATTATGTCACTTGTGATGGTTTGAGGGTTTTTTCCCATTTCTGCAGCGTATAGTCACTGTTTACAGGTCAGCCCTCAGAACAATTGTACTGGTACTTCAAACTCACAGAATGTTAATACCTTACAGCGACTTTCTTTATAAGGGAACGAACAATACCGTCATCAGTTCCTCCACAGTAACCTTTAAGTTAAGTGACAGTTTTGGTTTATCTTTCATACTATAGCTTTCAGTGAAAGAAACTCTCATCAAAGTGTACATACGTAATTTCCGATTATCCTTTTAGCTGGTCAATAGATGCATAGCTATTATTTGTACAACATTTGATAATCACCTTTTACACAGACATGTAAGCTTATTAAAGAAAATACGATACAACTGATGAAACAGAATCATAGAATGGTTAGTGTCAGAAAGGCCTTAAGCTCATCTAGGTCAAATCCCTGCCATGGGCAGGGATGTCTCACACTGGGCCAGATTGCTCAAGGCCCTGCCCAACCTGGCCTTGAACACTGGCACGGCTGGTCCAGTGCCTTGTCACTCTCACAGTGAAGTTTCTTACTTGTATAGAACCTGACCTTACCCTGTTTTAGTTTGTACCCATTCCCCCTTGTCCTATTGCTACAGTCCCTGATGAAGAATCCCTCTCCAGTATCCTTATAGGCCCCCTTAAGACAGTAGAAGGCTGCAATGAGGTCTCCATGCAGCTTCTCTTCTCCAGGCTGAACAGCCCCAACTTTCTCAGCCTATCTTCATAGGGGAGAAGGAGGTGCTCCAGCCCCCTGATCATGCTCCTGGCTCTCCTCTGAACTTGCTCCAACAGCTCCATGTCCTTATGTTGAGGACACCAGAACTGTACATAATAGAGTGAGGTATCACAGGAGCAGAACAGACATACAGAAATGAATCCTACAGAAGTTGCCCCTAGTTGAATGGTGTTAACTCAATTTAATTTATTACATTAACTGTCTTGACTGGCTCTTTTTAGATTCAAATTATATATTGATATAAATACCTATGTATTTTAGGGAAGTTCTTAAGAGACACACAGATTAGTAAGTCTTCAAGAGGCCATGCTTAGACCCACCAGAGTTGTGCAACTGCCGCAATGAACCATCAGCATAATTGTGAGCCTGTTAAGTTACCTAATGTTTACCTTGGTCTCTATAGCTGGTGTTAAAAGGAAATCCAAAAATCAAAGCTAATGCCAAGCTACTCTACATTACCAAGACAGAGAAGAAGTTACGATTTTAAAAATCATAGCTTAGAAGTACACAACATTGACTCTGGTCCTGCAGTATCAGTTGTACTAACATATGCGCCTAAAATCCTTTTCATCCTGATGTTACACCATTATCCTATGTTGTAATGGCATCTAGTTCAACTACTGAATGTTTTGCATTTTAAAAGCCTTAATTGTTTTTATTGTATTGTTTTTAAAGACTACAAGGAAACAACATTTTCCTTGTAAATAGTTAAATTTTGAACACTTAAATAAGTTCCAGAGAAGTCCAGTGCTGTATCTTAATACTCCTTTTTGTGTGAGTGAAGAAAACAGTATTACATCCTTTTCTCTTTTAAAGTGTCTGCAGTTATCAATCTCTCTATAGTTTATTTAACCTACTGAGATTTATTTTGGTTAACAGTCTTCTGATATTTGTTGTATGTAAACAAATTTAAGTGAGCAAACTTAAAT